GAGCCAAAGGAACCAGATTTTTTTACAGATTATCTGTCTCATGTATTACTGACAGTAGTGAAAGAAAGACAATATGACTTTTTTTAAATATAAAAGTTACCTACTGCAGCTTTAAAGGTGAATGAAACTGAAATATTATTATATCATTAAAGGAAAAGTGATATTTTTCGTATTGTCAACAAATCCTATGAAAATACCAAAACCAACAATGAATACATTCCATTAATGTGTTGTATGACCAAAGCCTGATATTATCATTAAATAATACATGCGTACATACATGCATACATACATGTTTAACTTGTAACTAAATCATATTTACTGTATATCATTTTGAATACATATTGTTTTGCATCGCAATATTTAAGAAAAGTTGCAGTGAATGCCCCCCCGAAAAAAACAGCGACAAGCAGCAATTTTTATGCCAATCTTTCTTCAGACTTCTCTGTCCAGCTTGTTTTCAGTCAGCCATGTAGCAGAAGCCCAGCACAGCCCTGGGAGATGGCACACGTGTGCATTTATAATATGTCTGCTGGGGTTTTGTTAGACCTTTTCTTGCACAGAAGAATAAAAATATCAAAGTATGCTAAATGCTCTGAGCTGAGAAAAGTCAAGTCACTGACCATAACATTAACTTGTAATGACAACCTGGCATAATCGATTGGATCACATTCATAAACAGTAAACAGTAAAAACCGAGTAGTTACTTAAAGAACCCAGGGGATCCTCCAAGATGTTGCTACTGTAAGAATATGAGCCAATTTGCAGATACATGGTTTTTACTGGACAGCGAAATTTTTGAAACACTGTATTCTGAAAAGTAACTGGTAACTACAACTGTCAGACAAATGCAGTGGAGTATTATATTATATTATATACAATGTTTGCCTCTGTGCAGGGAACTGAAGACAGCTATAGTGTACAGATACATGCAAGAATGAAAGAGAATCTAGCACGTTTTTTCCTTCTAAGAGACCCTCTCAGGATCCGTGCAAAGCCAGGGAATAAAGTCAACCAAGACACATGAGGAAGGACTCTTTCAAAATAAAACAGGACAAAACTAAACTCAAAGCCAAAACAATGGCACTAATACTGCCTATAATACACATCCTACACCATCATGTTCTTCCTCTTCTCTCTGGTTTTATCTCTGCCCATCTTTTCACTCCTTATATCTTGTCTGTCGCGCTTTTCCTTACAGCCTTTCATGCACTGCTGAATGAAACGACAGGTTTGATGCTTTCACATCTCACTTTCACTAAAGTTAGGGTGGAGACCTAATTTACCTGTTGGGCCACGGACTAAAGAAAATCACTGCTCGAGTTTACACAAAACTAGCAGTCCGACCAGTGGTGAGTTTTGTGAAGACCTACAGTACATGAAATAAGCACAGCAGGAACTTCAGATAGTTTGGACCACAATGTTTAATTATGTATCTTTAAACATTACATTCATGTTTGTAAATGGCATCAGAAATATCCATGTTTGCAGATTTCACATATCTTCAAATTAACTAGTTGCGACGTCACAGTGATTCGGACTTTTGATACTCATAGTGAAAATGAACAAAACAGCAACACAGAACAATTCACTTTCAGAAAACAGTTAGCAAATACAAATATTGCGAATGGAATGGCACACTGATAAGAAGCTGGGATTTAGGACAGTGGTGTATCCTGAAGAGTTGATGTTCTTGCCATTGTGAATGTTGCCCTTAAATGTCAAGGCAGCCCATCTGATAGTTGTCAAGACATTCACTCTGGACCAAAAAGTTGGCCTGACACTGTCTTCCTTGGAGCCATGGTGCTAGTGTGACTACAAAAAATATGTTGCAGACTAACAGAACATGAATCTTTGTTTTGATCACTTGAAAGAAACAGAACAGAACAGAGCGTCCTCACTCGGTCTTATTCATTGTGGTTTTCCAGAGATGTCAAGAATACTTGAATCCAAGTCTACAGTGTGATTCCAACTTCTCAGGCTTCCTTAATTTCCTTTTGAGATTGGCTGGAACACAAGACCATACAACCAATGACTGACAGCGAATGGGTAAACACTGTAAACACCCATGCAATATGGAAAATGCACCAGCTGTTTGTAATCCATTACTAAGTTTGTGTGTGAACTCCTTCCTAAATTCTTAGCAACTACCAGCCAGTATCTTACTATTTACTAAATCAGGGGTACCAATACAAATTTTGAAATATAGTTAGCAAAGTAAAATGCTGTATAATATACTGCAGCTGAGCAGCTAATTAGCTAATTTTTTTCCTCACAGCTCTCACCAAATGTTCGTCCTGCCGAGATAGACGAAAAAGGAAGATACAGAGTGGAGCGAAGATTATATTTACTGTTCCAATTATGGCCATGAGCCAGGGAAAGCCAATGGATGCAACTATTGGACCTGCAATAGCTGGACCTTTGGACAGAAGAGACAACATTCAGCACTTCATAAGAAAACATTCAGGCACACAGGCTGTTGCTCTGCATTAGCAGGTTTAAACCTGTGTTATCTGGAACAAAATCACATGGGTTGTGTTCAGTAAGATGTCAAATTGAGTAGGTTATGTACTGTGTTCCAACTGCATAATATATGTATTTTGTGAACACAAAGAATGCCTGCATTTATACTAGATTAGCATGAATTCTGAGTATGCACCATGAGCTTTCTGGACATACACAACTATAGTAGCAGGATGTCAATGACAGACAATAATGATAGAATTGCACGAGACGTTTTTCCCCACTCACAATGGAGCCTCTATTTCCTCATGATGAAATATGCTTACCTACACAGAATCCAATGCAGATTGCAACATCAGCAATAGCATAAATTGTACCGTATACTGGCACATACCGCAGGTCTACCAAAAAACCCATGAGAGGCATTATTGAGGAGTCCACTATGCCTGTCAGGAACAAGACAGTCATGGATAATTTCAACAAAGTAATTCATAAAATAAAAAATCCACATCAAATATTAGCCACGACTTACCAACTGAGAGGCCAACAAATGCGTTCAGAACAATCACATGATAGATGTTCTTTGAGAATCCAAACTGAAATATAAAGAAACATATTTACAGTCCGATTAATAAAAGCTGATCACAGACAAATGTACAAACTCACCATTCTAACAAAATATATGATGCTATAGCGTGCATTCATTCACAATTCATTCATTATTAATAATGTGTTTGCCTTCTTTATGATACATTTTCCCAGGCTGTGTAATGGTGTGCTCACACAGAATGTGTTTACTCATTATGCTTTGTGTAACAGGAATGAATATGAGCCCATAATAGACAGATTTTGCTGTGATTTAATTGCAATTAAGTGATCAAAAGGATGCCAAAATAACTACATCCTTTACATCATTATGCTGATTTGTAAGAAGTCTGTTCATACTTTGTGGAGTCTGAATGATGTTCAGATGGATCAGGAGCTATATGCTAACTTAGGTAATAGTAAAGTACAAGGGTGGATTCAAGTAACAGAACTTACCAGGGACTCAAACTTCCTTTCTGTTCAGTCTCTGTATAAATATGTAGTAGTATGATAAAGGTCTGGGTGCTCACAGGCAGCTATAAGTGGCACCTCCGTTGAGAAGCTAGAGACTCTGACCTCTGTTCCTGATCGGCTCCAGATCAGAGCAGAATCCGGTTTGACTATGGGTGTTTGTGCCTCTCTCGGGCATATTCACCACATTTGTGTCGTCTGCTTTTGCACTGACTCTTTGTGTAATCTCATCACACCAAACAATTTGCTTCACTTTCTGTGTGAAGATGCCATAAGGGCATGGTCACACATTAATTCACACATCACAAATTCAGGCAAATGACTAGTTCCAAAAAAACATATTTCAGAACATTTCAATTTAAGTACTTAGTACTTAATATAATGTATGTTATTGTTGCTGGGCAACACAACATTAGGCAAAGCCTGGGATGATTATAGCTATAAAATAGTAACTGTGTTTTTAAAATGATGATAAAATACAAGTTAACAGTAATGAAAAACAATGAAAAGAAACTAGATGCGCTTATATGGCCTGCTATATCAACAAACATAATTAAGATTCATTGGACAACATACAGTATGACAGAAGCATTACTTTTTATATAGACCACCATCCTCACTTGCATGGTCACTTGCATTGTCAAGTGGTCCCATTTTCACAGTAATGGTGTATTTACTGGGCATGTGAGCAGTAGTATATTGGGTACTGGGCTGTAATATGTAGCATTACTGTACTTATTCCAGTCACGCAGTACAGTCTATCACTACTTTGAAGACTATTGAACAGAAATTATGTCCAACTCAGTGTTAGTCTATGGAAGCTCATGTCTGCCAATATGATGACGTGTTGTAAGGCTTTATATTAAGAAATGCTCTCAAAATAATGAGAATCTATCAAAAATATTGACTTAATACTGATCTCTTTTCCGATAGTAATGAAATGAAGCTAGTGCACACAAATTTGCTATACCGTAGTAGGCCTAGAGCAAAATATTGAGTACATTAATCATTATTTTGAGAAAACTTCTCATGATTTTGAAATACTAACTCATTATTCTGATTTATACTCACCCATAGTTTTGAGAAAAATGTCTCATTATTTTAAGATACTGTCATTGTTTTAAGATACTATGTCAATATTTTGCTGAAGCTTCTTAATATATATATATTGACTTACAGGATCTTTTTTTTCTGCATCACATTGGCAAAAACGGGCTTCCATATGCTAAACAGATGTCAAACACAATTAAAGTGAATATAGCTTATGTCCTTTATGTACAGTCTGATCATTTAATATGTCCAGGATAATTAAGAAAGTGCTTACAGAGAACTTTATTTTTAGGTCCTTTGTAGACTTAAAGGACCAGTGTGTAGGATTTAGTGGCGCCCAGGTGGATTTGAAATTGTAATTACAAAATGTGTTCACTGTATTTGGAGTCGGTAATCTAAAGTTTCCTTCAATTTAATCCATAAGACTTACAGAAATGGTGGTTATTCCGGCCAGGATCATTCCAATACATGCACATAGCCAACTGTGAGAAGAGAATAACAACATAGTTTAAACAGTACAGGATTTATATGGTGGTTTTGGTACATTTGGTACCAACCATGAAGGAAAGACTAAAAATTAACATGAATGGATGAACATTCATAAAAAAAACCCAGTGACTCAATACAATACTAATAAAATATTTCTCCTTTCCTTTGTACAAACCCTGAAAGACTTATCTGTTTTTGACTCCATCAACTTACCTTCCATTGTGTTTTTGTGACAGGTGACCAAAGATGTTGGATGCGATGAGGTAGGATATGCTGTCTGACAAGAAGACAACGCCTGACACAAAGACACCGTGAGATGGAATAAGACAGCAGCAGAGACATTTACAACTCCAGACTTTTCAACCAAGATATTTGATAACAAGAAAATGACCTCACTAATACATGACACGAGCCTCATGCAAGAGCATTATTCTTATCCTAAACCTCTATTACTTTTTCTGTGAGGTTTGGAAATGAGTTAATCATTAGAATGGTATATGATCTGTACATGACATATGTCTGTACAACTTGTGAATTTCGTTCATGCCGAATTCTCTTAAATCACTCACATGTGCCATTTAAAAACTGATCTGTTAGTAGCAGTTACATCTTACATGAGGCCCAGTGTACTGTATGTTTAAATCTGTGCAGCTAAGCATGCTCTTAAATGACTGGTAAAACTATTGAGCTATCGCCCCCCCGATACACTTCGTATGGTTAACTCTCCATATGGAGATCCTTGTGTTCCCATCAATCAGACAATTTGCTGCATCAGTGTATGGTAATCATGAGCATAAGCTGCGAGCACTAGAATCAGGACAGCATGGGTTTATCTTGAATACCTAGCTGCCATTTGCTAGCACACATGGTCTTCATCATCCAGATAGGAAGGGCTGTCTCTATTGTGGCAACAACCAGAGTTGTAAAACATATGGCTCCTGGAAAGCAGAATTTAAAATTATTATTTTTACTATCTTTATGTATTTAGTATGCTCATAATCCTCATACCATTCCACAGAGCAACAAAAGTTGTTTAATGTTATCGCCCAATTATCTTAATACTAAACTCAAGTGTTGGGAGTTTTTTAGTGAAATGAAGCATCAAATGATAGAATATATTGTTTGCAAACCCTCCACCCAGAATGACTGTATACATAGGTTCTGTCTGACTCCCCTGGGAAATCATTTATCATTCCAAAACCCACACAAATCACAGTTTGAAAAGTGTTCAAAAAGCATTCTCTTGCCTGACACCTCTGTGGTTAAACTGCATTTGAATAACCGCACAAATGTGGAAATATGATCTAAAACGAAAACAAAACACTATCCATTGTTGAAAAGAGGATAAAACCACTTTTGGACATGTATGTGCTGCCCACATGTACAGTTGGTGGTTTAAGACATTTGTCAGGACCCATCATGCTGTCACTCACACAGTGGAAGCTAGTTAGTTTCTTCTCTTAAAAGTAATTGATATTGGTTAATTACTTCACCAATATCTGCATATAAAAGCAATAGAGTCATGTAAATGTATGCTTCAATCTTTTTAATAAGTCAGATGTATTATTTTAGTGTTGTGTGGGACAAGACAGATTTATCTAGTTATTAACAGTCTTAACCACCAGAGGGCAGCAACTTCCTACCTGAAAGCTACACTTCTTATCTAGAGAGCTTTCTCATTTCCTAGTTTGTACATCCTCGATTCGTCTTCTCGCCTCCTCTCCTTGCATCTTAGTCTCTCCTACCAGAGATGCGAGTGGATGAGAGACACAGAGGAGAGAGGAGTCAAGGCGACAGGCGTTTAACAAAATGAGATGTCTTTGCTTCAGAGTCAACTTTACAGCTCTTCAATAAATAATACAACTTATCAATACATCTGTAGAGAGCTCCCACCATGGTTTATATATTCCAGCTGTGTGTTACACCAATGACTAGCGGATGATTGTTTTTAATTTTAGCATGCACAATGCACATCCATCTCAAACGTGAAAGACTCCCTTGTGCCTCCTCATGAAAACTAATGACAGTCCTTTGCACTTAATATTTGCACGTCTTTGCTGCCCTCTGGTGGACAACACTGAAATTAATCTGCCATGGAAAATTGATATCACAATAAAAATGATTCATTCTGAATTTTTTTTTCTTTTTTATGCAATTATGACAGCGAATTTGTACATACAATTAAATACATATAGCAGTGTGTATTGTATTTCATTATTTCTTTGGTTGACAATTTAGGCATTTTAAATCTTCCATAAATTGGGAGTGATTTGTGAACAGCTAGTGAATCTCGATCAGCTCAGCGTTCTGGTACGCAGTGGAGTTTTTTGATGGTGTATTTTGTGCAGAGGCAGCACGTAACAGCTGTAAAACCAGCATGAGCGACCAGTAAGAATAAAAGGATGCGTACTGTATTCCCATTAATGGAGGAGTGGAGTGATGCGACGCAGACAATTTTGGTCGAGGTGACAAAACATTGAGTTTGGTATTAGAAAACCGGACACAGTCGACAAGTGTCTGTGTTATGGAGACAAGCATGGAGGATTCGGAACATACAAGATGACATCAAACTGTATTGTATACAGTATTAATGTTATTTAAAGTACCAGCAGCAATGAGTATGTATGGATCCTTCAGGAGAGTCAGCAGTGGAGTCCCTTTTTCCATCTGAATTGAAGCATAAAACATATATTTTTAGAGAATAATTAAGTTTTATAGCTTTTAAGATCAATTAAACTTACTGTTTGTACTGATGTTATATTTTTGACTACTTTCAACCACATTATCTTATTATTATAGTAATGGATTAGAAAGTTTCTATGGTTTGATGTTTAATTGGGTCTCCCTATGTAAACAACTCGCTATATGAATTTTTCATTTCCATGTTCTATTTTTTCTTCTTATTATTTTTTGGGAAAATTAAACTGATCAAGTGTTCAGTTGAGAGTTCCTTTTTCTTGACAGTGGTTGAAATACTTTACCTCTGATTTTATCCGCGATGGTTGAAAGATGAGGAAATGTAAACCTGTGTGTGGACAGTGAAACAGGACAGTCTGATGCACAAAAAAAAGTTTCACGCTACTTATGAGGAAATGTTTCATCGTATTCATTCAACATAGTACCTCCGCCCAACACGGCGATGACAGCTAGGACCAGGAATGGAGCCATCTTCCCCACAAACTCATACATCACGCTGCCAAATGGAGCACCCGCTTCAGAACGTGAACAAGACAAGTGATACAGTTACAGTTCAACATTAGTTGCAGGATTTAGTAGTAAGTGGAAAAAGCATCCTTCAATTAGATTGTCCAGGATTCAAACCGGTAAATGTCTAAGGTTGACCTTGAGTGATACACAGGGAGGGCAAGTCACTTTTGGCCACCACTGACATGTGTGCCATGTTTCATGAGTTTTGGAGCATTTTTAGGCCACCAAAAATGTGATTCATTTGGCAAAAAAATGGTAATTCCTTGCATTAAAATTGGGTCTGTACTTGTTTGACATATCAGAATGTTATACTATGCAATGTAAAATAGTTATTTGTTGTTATAACTGTCTTCTCTATACTGGATACCAAAATGTATCCTAAATGCAATTCAAATTTAAGTGATTAATTGAATTACTTAACCTATACTGATGAAAGGAATTTCTTTCTTTCTTTCTTTTTTTCAGGGTTCTGGCCTTTATTGGGCAGTGATAGCTGAAGAGAGCATAAAAGGGGAGAGAGTAAGAGGGGTGGAAGAAGGTCCCGCCCATACGGCCCACCGACTCAATTGCAATTAGGGCTATGCTGTCAATCATGACGTGACACCCCTTTTTTAAAGCTTCAAATAACTAATTAAAATCAGAAAAATGAACACTTGGACATACATCGACATGAAAAGAACTACCTAAAATGACAGAAACCATCTTTGGGAAAAAATTAAATGTGACATGTACTTTCATTTTTTTGTTTGTCCTATGCCCCATCGGCTAACATGGACACAACTGGCTTAATGAACTATACTGCAGTCAGCCACCAGGGGGCCATCAGGATGTTTTTGCTTTTCTTTTAAGGGGCCGTCATGTGGTCCATCTTTATATATGTCGATGATACACACCTATCAATCCTAAGGCCAAACCAGTGAAGGATATGCCCATCGCACGGCCTCTCTCCTCACCGTCTTTGTACAGATCAGCGAGAATACCCATTCCTGATGTAACAGAAGTAATAATGAGTGAAACTTATTTTAATAATTTTATTGTTAAATATTCAGAAAATAAATATATCTCACCTGCCACAGACAAGCAGGATCCACCTACACCTTGCACTGATCTGGCAAGCAGCAGTAACACGTAGCTCGATGAAAAGGCAAACACTAATAAGAAACGAGGACAGAGACTTATATTAATAATACATGAAGAAACATCTCCCTGTCTTTAACCTTTTAACCTGTCTTTTACCTTTGTGGGTAAAAAACCCACAAAAAGACATGTTACATTTCCATACCAAAAACTAAAAAGGTAAGCTAATGGAACATAATGCAGAGATGTGGCTGTGGTCGTAACATTAGCTTTACTTTCAGCCATCTTTCATGTTGCTTTAAAAAGGAATGAATCCAAGATTAATTTAAACTGTCAACCTAAGGGAATGTTACTTTTAGCTCTCAATATATATATCTCAATATATCAATTAGGCAATTTGGCGACTTTCTTGCTAGATTTAGCGACTTTTCAGACCCTCTTAATGACTTTCATTCTAAAAAAGCAACCAGTGACAAAGTTAGTATATTATTGTGACCGTCAGGGATAAGGCGAGAAATATAATCAATTATATTGTAAATTATCCCTCTCCCTCTCTGCTCTTGCACCGTGCTCACAGCCTTTCTCCAGATTAGGGTAATCATATAGCTCATTAATATGTAAATGTTTGTTTGACCTTCTCTGTCACTCTTTCTCTCCGGATCTCCGGATTAGGGTGTTCCAATAGCTTAGCCTATATGTAAATAGTTTGTCTGATCTTGTAAATACTCAAACAGTTTGTTTGATCTTCTCCAGGTCTGTGTCGATTTTCATCAAAATGCAATTTAGTGTATGATGTAATCTGGTGACTTTTGGCAAATTTTTCATTTACTTTCATTTGAAAAGAGTTGGCAACACTGAACCACCGGACAATGATAAGAATTTTAAAGAGCAAATATATATATATAAACTTACTTTTTGTGCTAAGTTTATATGACTGCAGTAATGCTAGGTGAGCAGAACTAGAGATAGTGAGAAGCTTGTTCTAACAGTCAGGGTTTACGACACCTGTAACCAAAACTGCCCAAATAAATGATGGCAACAGTTGAAAATGAGACTCAAGTTCACTGCCAAAACTAGACTATACTAACAAGCAAATGACTCAAATTTGTCTTGAAATCAAATGCCACAACTGACATTGCTGATATTATACATGTACAGTCTATAAGTGCAACAGACTGGATGACCTTGCCTGACCTTGTGGAAAATGCATTCACAGTATATATAGTGGACAAAGCTTCCAGGTCTGTGAAGTGAAGCCAATGTGCAAGTGTCTTAAACAATGCACTCTTTCTTCATCTCATTGGGTGCAAGAAAAAGTCAGATAGTATTGAGTCTTATGGGGAAATGACCCTATTTCTCACTTGATTTCTTAGCTCAGTAGGCATTTTCCTAATGTGTTTATTCATCTATACAACATGTATTAATTCAGTATTTTATAATTCCATTTAGAGTAAAATAGACCATAAAGCAGGGTATGCTTTAGGGTGTGGCTACCTTGTGATAAGCCACAAGCTGTCTGAATATTTTCCAATGTGATACTTACAGGTGGTCGCCATGATGATTATGCAGAAACCAGCACACATTGGGATGTGGTATCCAATCCTGTGCAATATACAGGACAAAGGTAGGGAAAATGGAGTCATATGATTAGAGTTTGAGAAATGTCTGCCCATTTCCCACAAATCAGAGTCACCCACCTGTCAGTAAGTGGCCCAATGAAGGGGTTAATGATAATCTGTATGGTGGATTTTGAGGCCAACAACAGTCCTACTTTGATGTTTACTTCGTCCAGCTGAGCACCAGCTCCAGAGCAATCAGGAGATGTTTTGGCCACGGTGGGATCAATGGGGAAAGCTGGATTCTGGTTTGGAGGTGCAAACGTGGAGCCCAGAATTCCTGATTGGTTACTGAGTGAGTGGATGAGAGGAGGACCGACCATTGTTTCAGTGTTGTTCCCAGAAGTGGTAGAGGTAGCCTGGGAAGTCCTGTACAGGTAACTTGGAAGGATTGGCACTGTCAACAAAATGAAGCAACAAAAACGTAATCCTGTGTCTTAAATGTGATTTGATTTCTTCAGCAGAAGGCCCAAAAATGATGTATAGTATTGTCATCATTCTTTCAACAACTTTAATGATCCATTTTTTCTTTTTTTAAATTACTTCTTTTATGTTTGTCCTTCAAATAACAGATTTGTTGTTTAATTTACTTATATCACCTTGGAGTTGTTAGCAAAACATGAAAAGTTAATTAGCTTTTTTGGGCAAATGCAATTAAAAATGTTAATAATCTCAGTTATCTTATAAATTATCTTACATGGCATTTCCTTCACTATCCGTGACTTGACAACATCATGTATGTCACATGATTTACTTAACGTTATTTTAACGCTAATCATGATCTTTTCCTAAACCTAACCAAGTAATGGTTACTAAACAGTAAACAGTTCCTGATGGGTTTAGGGTCTCAGTCTCTAGTTTCACATCTTCCTCTATACATTATGATATTCATTTAGTAAATGAATGTAAAATAGACGATAAATATGCTTTTGGGCGGGGCTACATTGTGTTTGACAGGTCATTCTCAGTGAGTCCGTCCAGCTCAATGCACCACCAAACTCAGATCAAACTAGGCAGTGCTGATTAAATACGAAGCAAGATTCTGTTTCAGAAACATATTCTAGTGTACTTTTTAGCCATTTTACGAGATTGTGTGTGAGCCACCATTGTTTCCTGCTACTGATAAGTCTGCGCAGCCAATGAGCGCAGTCCCAAAATGCCAAATTTGAGGCTTCAAAACGGTTCTCCACAAACCAATGGGTGAGGTCACAATAGGGTCACACTTGGTCAGATCACATGATGCACACCCATCACTGATGTATTAATGTGTATGACACATTTTACTGTTGTAAACTGTTTAGATGGAGCTAGTTTAGGCCTTGGGTAATTTATTCCGTAACAATTTATTGTAACCTGTAAAATAACTTAGTATGTATATAATAACTCAATGAGAAAAAGTTAGTAAAATATTTTTCCCTTAAGTGAAGAACAAGTACGTGACAATTGTACTGTACTTAAGTAAGTGTACCTAGCCATGTTCCACTACTGGTTGGTTTAATGTTTAGATAAAGTGTTGGACAACAGATTGAACCTACCTATCACTGACAGCAGCATGTGATCCAGGAACAAGGCGATGAACACAATAACCAGGGCCATCTTCTTCAGCTGGGCCTCCTGTCTCAGCCAGGCAAGTAAGTCTAGGTTACACAGGAGACATGAAGAGAATCTTTCCGATATTTTAAGTTGATCCAATTCACTGTTTTTGAACAGTTTTTTTTATACTCAACTAATGATTTGATACAACTTCATTTGACAGAGATATAAAGACAAATTATGAATGAAAAAGATTCCCTTACTAGACAAAAATATACAAAATATATTTTCTCTTACTTTACTTTATCAATTAATAGAATCCTTTTCTATTTCTGAGGTAGGGTATAAACTGTGCAACACAATTCATATTTCCTTTTTCTTTGTAAAAGTGAAACAGAAGTATTTGAGCATGGATACCACAATTGATATCATGATATCAATTGATATCACATTTTTAATTTCACAGATTTGAATATTTGTTTTGATATAACAGTCTCTTGATATATCTTTACATTCCTATCTTTATATTTTCCTGAAGTTAGATTAAAAAAGTGCAATATATCGCCTTCCTTACAGTATTGTGGTATATAGAAATACATTGAACTGTAACCTCTGTATTGCAATACGTATAGTATCATCTTCTTCTTGCCAATACACAGCACTAATGTAAACAACATATACAGCACAAAATATGTACAGCAGTTCGATCAATACATTTTCAGGTGTGTGTAATTTATGTAATCTCTATGTATTCACTTTTGCAGACAACAGTCCAAATATTAGAGAATATTGTAGTTCAAACTTACCCATATTTCAGTTTTTACAGGGTGCAGAACAGTTTAGCAGCTTGCGAGGTGTGACCAGCTTTGGCAGTGTGAAAAACAAGCAGGAAGATTTACCGAGGGCTACACCTTATCCTGCTGCACATGCATGATAAAATGACATATTGATTTAGCATCTCAAAGTAATGACTGTGTGATACTAAGTCATTATTTTGAAAAAATAATTCAAAATATTGAGAAAGTTTTGTTATTATTTTACATGTTCACTTCATTATTTGTTTAGGAGCAGTAATATTGTGATGATTTTGAGTACTTTTTATAAACATACTCAAAATCATCACAATAATAATGTCATTATTTTGAGTTAAAAAATGTCATTAATTGAGGGGAATCCTGCTGCTGGGTGATTTGATGTTGACACCCAGCAACTTCAGAAAGGTTGCGTTTGACAAATTATCCCTGGATCCTGATAGCACTTGGACTTAGTTACCAACGTGTCTTCGTACTTCAAGAGCCATGCTCCTAACGGCTCTGCACACAGTGCTCTTGTGAATTTTAGTTGGGTGACTACAGTCTGTGTCAACCCAGTGTCAAAATACCTTGTAGAATTTGTGAAAGTGCAAGTGTTACCAACGTTGAAGTTCAGCTGATAGGAGATTGATCCTGTTGAATCCGCTATCCCGTCAGTATTAAACAAACAACTGCACTTAAAGCTTTTCTTGATAAGAAAGCTGAGTTTGCCATACTTCCGTCAGGATTTGGTAATGTTTCATTGCTCTGTTTGGGTGTAAGTTAAGCCAAAGGAGCCATTTTAGTCTGTGCCTGTTGATAATGCCCTTTGGAAATAAAAATAAACTGAGAGGGTGATATCAGGCTACACAGGCTAAGTTTGAATACAAATAGCTGGTGAACTGTGCTGAGATTTTAGTATTTGTGTCAAATAAGTCTATTTAATTTAGTAACTTAGTATCTCAGAATAATTACAAACTTCCTCAATATTTTGACTTGGCATCTTAAAATATGACTTTGTGATACTAAGTAATTATTTTGAGATACCAAGTAACAATATTGATCATATCATAATGACATACAGAAGTTTTTCTTTTTTGGCAGGAATGGGCATCTGTAAGAACCAGACAGTTTTGTGCAATGGATGACTTTAGACGTCTGTCTAAAATCTAATCATTAGTTTGATCTAAGCCTTAATCATAGTCTATCTTTGTGAAAGTTCCTGTTGTTTTAAAGGTCAAGCTTTAATGCCAATGTTATTTTAGCATGCCCATGAAACAGGATAAGGTGTAGCCCTCGGTAAATCTTCCTGCTTGTTTTTCTTTTCTGGCAGACTGCACACTGCCAGAGCTGTTAAAATAAACAAATAAATGAAATGAAAAATGAATTGTGACATCAATTGTGGTATCCAGGCTCAAAGACTTCTGTTTCACTTTTATAAAGAAAATGAAATACGCATTGTTCGCACAGTTTATACCCTAACTCAGAAATAAATGATAAAGAAAATATATTTAGTCATAATTTGTCTCCAATCTCATGTTGTTAAAGAAAATGGTAATAAAATCGTATCGTGAAGCAAAATCAAATCAAATTGTATCAAATCATTAGTTCAGTCAGGACCAAAAATTCCAAAGCAGAATGTTATATTTGGCGGTATGGTTCTGTTCTGGGACCTCCTTGCCTTTCCACGCACATACGTGGAAGACCTTAAGGCAGGGAGAGTACACCTCAGCACACATAAAAGCTCAAAACCTCTTAGGTCAGCCAGCCTCTGCTAGCTTTGTTGTGGATGTTCAGCAAGATGCACCCTCTAGCTTTGCAGCAACCTCCCGTCATTCAGGTGCTCCTCCTAACCCATCACCCAAAGGAAAAGGTGCCTATTCTGCCCCCGCATGACTGGTGACAAAACAAACTGCAAATGTCATGCATACATTTGTAAAACGCACACCATTACATTACATACTGCCACTCATGCAAGTGAAGGCATATTCACACACACAGAAACACACGCACACACACGAAGGCAAAGTACCTGGGATTGTTTTCTGTGTTTTTGAATTTGTAATTAAAATGATCTGAAATTATTAAGTTTTGCATCAGTCTATTCTGAGCTGGGGATGTCCTGGCTAATAGTTGACATATACCAGACTATGATAATCAATTAACATGTGTTCCTATTACATTAACTAGAGTCAAAATTATTCAGAATTTTAGCTTTTTAAAACAAAAAAATGCAATATGATGTCGTATAAAATCGTGTCCTAAATTATAGAAATATGGGTCAAGCTTGGTGTTAATGAGTTGGTATTGAGTTCACTAAAAGGTCAAACACAGTATTGGATCATAATTCATACCCTATATTTTTTAAACAAGTCAAACCAGACTGGGGTCAAAGTTTATGATGGAGGAACAGTACTGCATAGTCAACGGGAAGGTATTATGAGGGTTAAAATGTTCAATCATATTTGTAAAAAGCTTTTATGGAACAGTTAACGTTCATGGATAAAATTAGAAAAGCTTTGTCTAGGACATGGGCTATTTATTACGCAATTACTGTATCTTTTGCTCTGGAGTTAACATGGACAGCACATATGAATATTGACATCACAGGGAAAGAGTGGGACACATCTCAGCTCAAAGGCAATATACTGTATATTGGTTTAACATTGTGTCATTTTTTTTCTGAGGCCTCCCCAGGCCCAGCATCTCCATGAATCCTGCTGTTGAGGTTACATGGGGTCAGGATGTTGGCATTACT